CCCCCCACCCCCACCTCCAGGCATACATGTACTCCAAGCCCGAGTACATGACAGCCGCCAAGACCTTCCGGACCATCCTGGCTGAGGGGGGGCCGCTGACGTTTTGGCGGGGCCTGCTGCCACGCATGACCAGGATCATCGGTGAGAGGGAGGGGCGGGCAAGATGTGTATGTGAACGTGTGGGTGGATGTGTGTGCTCGCAGGGGGGTCTGCGTGAATGCTCATGGGGGTCTCACTTTTTTGTGTGGGTGTGCGCTCACAGGCAGATTCTACTGCCTCTCTGGCTCCTCTGACGTTCTTCTTGAATCGCTTGCATCGTCCTCTTGCTTCCGTCTGACACCACCTCCCCCCCCCCCTGCTGCTGACCTTATCGGGTGGTATTCCGCGCCACCAGGCGCCACCTTCCTCCTCATCAACGTGCGCTCCGCGGCCGTCGGCTACTTGGAGGCCAGACGCGACCCCGCGCGGCAAGCGGCCGCGGCCGCGGCTGCCCCGGCGCAGTAGCCGGCTGCTGGCCCCCTGCCGGCGGCCGTGGCGGGAAGCGGCGCTTTGGACCGCGGCGCATGGCTGATGGGTGCAACCCGCCGCCGCGCGGCTGGCGGGGCGGCAGCCAGGTATCTCTCTAATGTTGCTGAAGCTATGGTGGCGGCGGCTGCCTATGAGCAGCACAACCGGCCTGGCTCAACCTTGTGTTTGAGTGCGGCATGATTTTTGAGCTGTCAAGCCCCTGGCGCAGCTGCCGCACTGCCCATCTGCGTTGACAAAATCCCTTTCACCCCTGTGCTGGCCTTCCAGCAAGTCACTGCATCCTGCACGCATCTGTCATGAACGCGACCCCACCCAATGCTGACGGCGGCCCAGAGCGCGCCGCCATTGAAATGTCTCGCAGCGAACGCACTGCCGCTGTCAGGCGCGAGCCCTGCGCACCGCCTGCCTTTTGAGTGATGTTGTAATCTAAGCTTTCCACAACCAGGGGGTCTCTCGTGTCTGTGCAGCAGCCCCATGATCGCAGTCTCCAGTCCTACATTGCACAGTTACTCATCGTGTTCGACCAAACCTAAAACAGAGCCCGCTTTGGTCCTGCTGCGGTGCGGCCGCGGCGCCACGCACCCAAGCGTCCAGCACCAAACGTTGCACAACAATGCTGGCTCAAATCAGCGGGTTGCTTCGGCCTAGATCTTTTCCCGCGATTGAGGCGAGGCCCCGGTCAACTCAAGAAGCGCTCGCGTTGACCATCGCCTTCCAGGCGTCCCCGCTCACGCGCCGCACCATGCTCTTGATCTGCTGCCCCGGCCCCAGCTCGTGCAGCTTCCGGCCACCTTCCGTCCCGGCATTGTTGACATCATCTGGTGACGTCAGCGCGACCAGGGTGGCCTCCCAGCGGACGGGCTCGACCAGCTGCCGCCCGAGCAGCTTCCGGATCGAGTCGGGGTCGGACGGGAAAGGGGACGCGGTGACGTTTGACCAGACGGGGATCTGGGGGGCGCAAATCTTGACCGACGCGAGGGCCGATTCCAGCGCCGCGCGCGCCGGCTCCATCAGGGACTGTTGACGGGAGTGGAGTCGCAGTGCGCAGGAGAGGGGGTTGCTGTCAGGCAATTGAGCAATGAAGTCAGGTGCAACCAGGAATTCTGACAAAGCGCCAGGAGCTTCGGCGAGGCCCTTGCCGTACTGGAGTAACAACACAGCCCGTTTTGGCAGCTAAACCATTTCCCACATTGGAAAAGAAAGAGCAGCTGACCGCTGTGGCCGACGCCATTTGCCACGCTGCCCCGCGCAGGCAGGGCTCTGGCCGGAGGGGGACGGGTGGCAGTGCAGGCGCGTGCGCCCTCACCGTGTGAAACGCGCCGCTGACCGCCAGGCGCGCCGCCTTGAGCGCGCCGGCCTCCAGGGCGGCGGACTGCACCCAGTCCAGGGCGTCCAGGTGGCCGCTGACGACGCGGCCCTGCGGCGGTGGGTGGTCCGGTCCAGTCCAGGGGGAGCCATCTTGATTATACGTGATTGGGAGTCATTCACCAGTATTCTCGCACGGGCAATTTGTGTCGTCTAGGTGAGGAGGCTCTTCAGGGTTTCTTTAGGAGTGGGTGCATTGAGCGCACCCAGCAGGGCTGTCAGGGCCCCTCATTCGGCTCTAAGCTGACATCCAAAGAAATGCAGACAGTTGATGTGAGCAGAGCGGCGGAGGTTTTCGACCAGAACAGTTTGCGATTTGGCGCATCTCAGGCACCAGCCGTGCTGCTGGCTGGGCTCTTACCGTTGGAAACAGGTAGTTGGCGACGACGCAGACCGTGCCTGGCCCCAGCTTCTCCGCAGCTTCCCGGCAGATGCCCTCCAGCTCCCCATCGGGCAGGCCCACCACGGACAGCATGCCGTGGGGCCGGCTGCCGGCGCGGCCGGCGGCGGCCATGCTCTCCGCCCGGATCTTTACCACCTGGTTGTGTGGGGTTTCAGGTAGCGTCGCACAGTCGGTCGAAGGGACGGTGGATTCAGTGGCGTGCAGGCCGAGGCATCATCCATGTGCAGATGCACCTGTGGCAGACTTGCATGCAATCTTCGTAGCTGATTGATCAGGCCCCAACAGCAACCGTGTGTCACGCTCGCTCGGCGGCAGCGCCATCACTTGCGTACAAGCAAGCAGACAAACAGATTCATGGTTGACAATACATGAAATAGCTTGCCTTGAGCGCGTCCTCGATTGTGAGGGCCCCCGCCCAAACCAGGGCCGCGTACTCGCCCAAGGACAGCCCCGCCGCCGCGCCGCACGCGGCGGCCGCCGCGGGGTTGCGGGCGCGCAGCTGCTCGGCAGCTGCCAGGTTGGCGACGAGCAGGGCGGGCTGGGCGTAGATGGTGTCGTCCAGCTTCTCCTTGGGTCCTGACGGTCGTTCGGTGGAGGTGAAGCAAGTGCAGTTGTTTGGTGGAGGTGAAACAAGTAAGTGGTAGATGGGTGGAGCAACACGCGTCGCTGCGACCCTTGAGCAGCGCAACCAACTCCTTTGCCAGCCTGATTATTGCATTTCACGCTCGTAATCAGCAGGCAATGTCTTTCCTTGGTATCAACATATCATCTTCTTTTTCAACCTTAGTAAAATCAAACAGTATTAGCACGATCAACCTACCCTTTTGAATGAGCTCCAGCATATCATAGCCCAGCACAGTCTTTGCCACTTCAAGCATCTCCCTCACCGCCGGCAGCTGCGCGGCGGCTTCCCCGATCATCCCCACCGCCTGGCTGCCCTGCCCAGGGAACAGGAACGCGTTCTTGCCCCTCGGCGCGCCACGGGCGGCGCCGGTGGGTGCGTCCCGCGCCTGCGCCGCCGCATCCGCCGCCTTGGAGGGGCCGGAGGCAGTCGGGCCGGCGAAGGGGCGGGAGAAGCCGTCGGCGGCCAGGGCGTCGCGGGCAGCGGCCAGCGCGGCCTTGCGCTGCTTGCGCTCCTCGGCGCGCGTCGCGTGGTCGCGCTGGCGCTTCAGGACCTCTGGGGGTTGGGGGGACAAGGTGGAAGGGGGGTGCGCCAAGGCAGGGCGGGGGTGATGGGCCAGGTGAGGGAACCTAGCTTCAGACACAAGCAGGGTGCGCACCCAAAGCGGCATTTCAGCATGCGTAGCGTACAGCAACACTTGTTTGTATCCAATCACGCCGTGCTCGGCGGGGCGGCAATTGAGCTGCAAAGTGGGCATACTGCGAGGGAGCACGCGAGGTTCGGCCTTGATGCATGACCAGAACCCACCTGGGTAGGGGGGCGTGAAATCAGCGGGCCAGCCGGTGACCACCTCCGGACCGTAGTCATACAGAGCCCACCTGAGGTGGTTGCCAGGCAGGGCCTAGTTGGCTTGGTTCTTTGCATTGACAGGTAGGTGGTTGCAAACACCCTTGACACATCGATGGCATGTGCTTGGCCATTCCATGGCATTTGGTTGACACATCATGGCAGGGCGCCCACCATGCAAACATACAGCCTCGGCCTGCGCTGCGAAGCAGACGGCTTTACACAGTGCGAGCCAAATCAAAGCAGGGCCGCGTGGCAGCAGGAGCAAGTCCCACAGTCACGTCGAAGCCCCCCCTCGGCGGGACACAGATGCACGCTTCGCGGGCCGCCGCGCCCACCAGTCGCCGACGTCCGGGTGCGGCAGCGGCGCCTTGGGCACAGTGGCGTACCGCAACTCGAGATGCGCCAGCCGCGCCCGCACATCCTCGTCTTCAGGCGCGACCTGGAGACGCACAGATGCAATGTTCGACATGCAACAACGTTGATTGTGATGTCAATTGTCATTTGACAAGACAGTAAGTTACGTGCCACCTGCACCCTTGGAGGCACTGCTGGGTGGCTTTTCACGCAAGTGCTGGTGCCTGCCCGGCTGCCCAGCAAGGCAGTGCGACGACTGCAGCTGGATGGCGCCCAACTCGTGTCGCTGCATGCAAGCGGACCTGCTTTGGCGCCCGTCGCGTGTAACATCCGTTCATGAACGGCGCAGGCCGACAAGCAGCACGCAGGAGCTATAGAAGCGACAGGCGGCGGCCGTGGCACCTGGATGGGCGTCTTGCGGCCGGGGTCCAAGTAGGGATCATAGTCATCCGTCAGGATTGATGGGTCTGCGCCCCGGCTCTGGGGAAGGTGAGAGCGGATGCTAAGCCGCAAGTGGCGGGTGGGCTGTGGAGTACTGGCCCGTTTATGGTGCACTGCAAAGGGCCTGGTGAATCATATGTGACATATGCATACGCCAATGCTGGACCGGAAAGCTGCTGGTTGGTCGTGAATGTTGGCGTCCCCAAAAGTGCAGTGTGCAGGACGCCTGACGGCCCGTCAAACAGACAAAGAAACCACCCACCAGCAGGTACTCGTAGATCTCCAGGTAACCGTCCAGGTGGGCCAGGTGTGCCGCGCGGTGCAGCGGCGTCCAGCCCTGGCTGTCGCGCTGGTTCACCGCGGCGCCGTTGTTCAGCAGGTGGTGGGCCTGCGCTGATTGGCAGACACGGACCTGAGATGAGCAGCACTTGATGAAAGCATGGTCAGGCGGCAGAACGCAAAGTACCGAGTGCAACTTCATGAAAGATGTACATGTGTCGGGTCTGCATGTACATTGACAGGGCTGTCCTACCTGGTTCACTGCCGCCTGCGCACGGCATAGCATATGCAATTCGGCAGCAGCAATCCAGAACACCACGAATGCTTGATCAAATTGCTGCTGCAACACCAAAGGTGTGGTTCGGATCATTGTTATGTGTATGACCCCTGGTCAAGCAATTTGGGGTCGAAGCGGCGCACCATGTCCAGCTGGCGGTATGTGACGGCAAAGTGCAAGGGTGAGCCCGCCCCATTGTCCTGGGTGAAAAAATAGGGATCGGACTGCGTGGGGAGAGGAGAGGTGGGGGTTGAGCAAGAGAGGAAACGCATTGATGAGTATGGAGGCGCATTCTGCAAGTGGGAGGGGTGTGTGAGGGGGCGTCAAGGGGGTCCCTTTCTGCAGAACAAGGGGATTGAGGGACGGAGTTGGCAATATGGATAAGGATAGGAGGCCCTCAGAGGACTGTATCAGATCTTGCTATTTTGCATGGCGCTGCTGTGTTTGCTGCAGCTGCTGCAGCCGGCCCGGCAGCCCGCCACAGAGCCAGCACAGAGGCGGATGTTGCTGGATCTAGAGAGGATGCTGACATCAGCATACAAGGGAATGCAATGTGATGATGTGATGCGTCACCATCAGAGCACGTGCCTTCTCCTTGGTGCTGTGGCCGAGCGTCCGAGCACGTCAAGCGGGGTGTCTGGGGTTTGTCTGCGCAGCATGCATGACACATCAGTCAGGGGCCCTAGCCCCTATCACCTGCATTATCTTGGCGAGCATCTCGGGGTCGCCCATACGAACCTGCATGGGAGCACGGCGTGAGTCGAAAATGTCACTGACGCATGCTGCTTGCGCAACATGCGGGTCCGCAGCGGCGTTGCACAGCGTTATCAAGGCCAGCGGGGCCTCCTCTGTCTCGGTGGCGCGCTGTCGGAAGTGCGCGCCCGGGCTCAACCCTCAGCGGTTCCCTTCAATGTGGGATACGCATGCACCAGCCCACCGCAGTATAGAAGGCAAGCGGTTGGTAGCGCGGCTGGGGCGGGTACCGGCCCATGCCACTCAGGTCCCGCGGCATGGCTGCTGGGATGTTCAGGTTGGCAGCAGACGAGTGTGCCACCGTCGGCTGCGGCTTGCTGGTAGTCCTAATATGTGCGGTGGGCAAGAGCGAATCAACGTCATTTGCGCGTGCATTGAGCCAGAAACACTGTGAGTTTGGTGCCAACCGCTCCGTTTGAAACAGGCCGAGGCACTTTCGTGGTGGGTCCAAGGTGGACCGTTCTCGTGATTGTGAGGCTCACTCGTCGAGTTACAGTCGCATTTCATAATGTGATAGTCTGAATCTCTCTGTGCAGGACAACATGCCGAAGCTCAGCGACTTTTTGTTGAGATCAGGTGCAGCAGCGTCAGCGGCCGGCAAGCCAGATGCCAGCAAGACACTCGCCGGTGCTCCTGCCAGCGGCAGCACGGCTGTTGCTGTATCGAACGTTACAGTCAGTGCCAGCGGCGCGAGCAGCGGCAGTGGTGATGACTTTGCCAGCAGGGTCCATGCGGGCATTGCCCGTCTTCAGCAGCAGCACGCACGCAGGTGAGATTTGTTCCGATCTGTGGGTGGTGCAACGGGAGCAGAGCCAAGCAACACAAAGCCTCAGGCCCCATGAAGTAGTAATCCTGTCATGGCAGACCCACACAGGCATAAGTGTGGCCCCAGAATTGAGAGCGCAACGCGTCTCACCTGTTTGGCCCCACGCCACCCGCCCTTCTGGTATTGCCCGCCGCCCATCCCAGGCTGCGGGATCACGGCCCCAGGAGGTTCCGCCTCAATGATGGCAGCCTAAGCACCAACAAACCGCCGCCCGAGCCTCTTGCCGTGGTGGGTGGGCCTGCACACCAACCAGAACATGCGCAGGCACGCAATCAAGCCACACGGGCATACCATACTGCCAGCGTTGCTCGCGTGCCCCAACCTCAACTGTGATTGAGCACGTTTTGGCGATTATCAGACTTCGCGTGACTGCCCACTTTACGCATGGCGTGCGTCTGCAGGCCAACCGGCGCCGCTGGGCGCCGCTCGTTCAACACTGCCGCGGCGCGGTAAGACATTTGTCATGTGCCTTGCAAATGGCTGCGACATGCTGGGTGGCAAGCTTCCTGATAGGTCTCACGTTCTCTTGGCCGCAACTGACACGCAGCTTTAAGATGCAACGATTTTTGGTTGCAAAGCTGTTGTTGCATTCGCCATCCAGCCTTAAAAGCCGCTCCTGCCACTTTGGTTCATAACGTCCTGAAACAATCCAAATTGACAGATTGCCGACGACCCTACTGTCGTGGCCTCTGGTGCAGCGGCCCTCTACCGTGTGCACGGCGTCACGCCGCAGCAGCACGCCTCGGCACTGGCTGCCGCGGGTGCGGCCGGAGGCGGCCGTTGCTTGCCTGGCTGCAGTGCCTGCAAGACAAGTCTAGCTGCTGGCCCCCTGCTGCTGTCAACCAGTCGCCTTTCAAACGCCACAACAAGATCTTCAACCAGAGCTTCCTGCGCCTGAGCCTATTCTTGCCTCAAACCGACTGGGCCGCGCACACTTGATGCTCCCTTGAATTTCAACCCCTCAATAGGCCTGGACCCAGAGGTAGACGATGCAGGAAATTGGCTCGGCTTCCAGGCTGGGCTGGAGGACCCGATCGAGGATGATGCGAGCCACCCCTTGTGGGGCGAGGAGTGGGGGCCTCTGGCGGCCGCCAGTGCGTGAGGCCGGGTGCCGGGTCGGGCGGGGGGTGAATACCAAGAGTGGGCAGCGTGAACAATACCTTTCTGGCTTAGGTATTCCAGTGACCGCCACTCACCTGTGCATTGCCGGCGTTTGTTTGTTGACGTCCCACCTGCTGGCGTGTGTTTGCCTTTGCTATCATAACCCTGAGCAGTGCTGGAGAGGGCGGAGCGGATCGGCAACCTGGCCCGCGCGTCCGGCGCCGGCCGCGGTCTGGCGCCCAAGCCGCAGAGGGCGAGCACACCCCTGTCTGGGGATGCCAGCGAGGCCTCGTTCGTCGTGATTTGAATACGGGTTTGATTTTATCTCGGCCAAGAATGTAAAAACCGTAAGAATCTCATGTTTCGGCTCAAACAAGTCCGTGCCTCGTACGGCTCGAACAGCACCGGGGATGCAGCTGATGCATGTTTTGTACAATATGACCCGTATAATCGAAAGGTTCCGCTGACAGTCGTTCCGCCCTATCATCGACCTCAGAAGCGCACCAACTGCCGCTTGCCGCGCCATCACCAAGGAGCCCCGTGCCCGCCACAGCACAGGTCCGAGCCAACCCCAACTCCTGATCAGAGGCCGCGTCCGCGATACCCTCATGGCCGCCTACGTCGGCGACAAGATCACCGAGGCTGACGCCGCGCGCGTGGCCGAGTTCGAGGCGCGGGTCGACCCCAACGACCGCGAGGCGGTGGCGCTGCTGGATGAAATGAAGGCGCAGCTGAAGAAGGTCTGCTTGGAGATGGAGGGAGCGAGCGCTCCCTGAGGGAGAGCTAGTGGGGGTGCACCAGGGGTTCGGCATGCATGGACCATCGCGGAGGTTGCTGGCTTGCAGGGTCCAAAAGTAGGTTCATTCGTCCACTAGCCGCACGGGGTCGGTTGATTGTGGACAATGTAGCGTTGGCCAGCACCAACTATGCTGACGACTGCTAGCGCCCACGTGGCCCCAGGATGCGCGCTTGAGTGCACTGCATGCCCCAGGCGCACGGACGAGCCCATCACTGCAATTACAATCACATAGCAGCATGTCTCCAGGCTCACAACCTTCACCTGCCCCCAAAGATCGGGCCCTACGCCACCAACACCTCCCCTGCAACGCCTGTGGCAATAATGGCGGGCAGTTGCCAACCAACCTCTTCCATTCCTCATCAAACACCTCAACCGTTTGCCACAGTCACACCTTGGCTCCATCCCCCTTTTGAAGACACTATTGTTCTACGCTCCCGCCCAGCGTCTCCAACCTGCTCCTTGCACTCCTCTCCGCCCCCCACCCCCCAATCAGCTGCAAGACATCAAGCGCAACGAGGACCCCCGGCTGTCATTCTCAACGCCCGAATTCAAAGAGGCGCAGCGCGCCTTCACAGACGCTTTCAAGGTGCGGTCCATGCGGGGGGTGCCGACGCCTGGTCAATGTCTTTCCTGCCTTTGGCTGCTCCTGCTGCGCGGTCGCAGCAGCTGCCTCGAGGGGGCAGGGTGGGCAAAGCGGCCTGCGTGAAGCCACGCACCACTTGCCAAAGTTGATCAGGCTAGATGGATCCTGAAGCCTCGCTGAAAGACTCAGGATTGCGTGAGAAAGGGCTAGACAGCAACAGTTTATGGAAGCTGCTGGGGGGCTGGAAGCACTGCTCGCGCCCACATGCAACACACCCCGGCTGCTGCACGCACCGCACCGCAGAAGAACTTTGGGAAGCCCGTCGAGTGGGCGCTCGTGAAGGAGGTGCGCTGCCTTTGGGGGCGGCAGGCCCGCACGCGTGCATACATGTATGCATGCATGTGTGCATGCGTGTGCTTGTGCGCTTGTGGTGCGATAGGAAGGGGCGATGGGATGCAGGCTAACAGGACGTGCCCAACAATGTGTGGATGGGGAGGGTGTCAGGACAGCCAGAGCTCAAGGGACACGCGCTCAGATGTGGGGGCGCACAGCAACCACACCAGCCGTTCTGTGCACAAACTTTCCTCCTCGAACACTCCTGTGAATCACGCCCACACCCTGCAGTACCCCTGGAGCGCGCCGCAGCTCCGCAAGCTGGAGACGCCCCTTGATGCCCAGCTGCAGGTCAGGCCGTAATAGGCAGCATCGCGCCCCCCTGGTGTCAGCCAATCTGGCGACCTTGCAGCCATAGGGCAAGCCGCAACCAAAACTCATTCGGCACGGCTTGCGCACACCCTGCTCGCGGTGAGGCGTTCTAAGCTCGGGGTTTCGAGAGCCCGGCTGACGGCACCACCTGACGAGTGAGCTGGCAGGGGAGAGGCAGGCAGAGCTTTGAGAGTTGAGAGCGGCGCGTGCATGCGACGCCGAGCCCGTGTGTGCCGACTCGGATTGGCGTTCCCCACTCTCCGGCCTGCGCACGTGCGTGTGATGGGCGGGATCGCTGCAACCGCTGGACGACGAGGGAATCACCGTTTGGTGGAAAGTGTAACTGTCACCCTAGTTACAGTTGCGGTGCATGTTGGATGTCAGCAGAAAATGCCACCTTGTGAAAGGGAGAATTGGGAACAGCAGAGGGTCGTGGGATGACTAGGCGCCACATGCGTAAATTTACTGCATGCAAGACAGCACTGTGCCGCTTTCGTAGCATGTGTGAGTGCGCACTGCGCTGTGCGTGCTTGCAGTGCTGTAGAATGGCGTCATCACCCAGCACCGGGCACCTGCTGTGCGGCGCGCATTGCAGCGTCACCATGCTGTGACGGCCAGTGCAGGCGGGTGCCGTTGGTTGTGTTGATGTCCGATTGAGGTGCTGGGCTGCGTGCCAGCCGAGCGCTATTGCAGCAGCCGAAGCTCTACCGCTTGTAGGTCGGTCGGTGGTGTGTTCAAAGAATGTAACGCCCGTGCACACGTCGCCAAGCTAGCACTCTGTTGCCTACGCACCAGCCTGCAGGCAGCCGAGCAAAGTGAAAGCTAGCCGCAACCGCTCAGACTGCGGCCACGCCCTCTGTCGCTGCCTCCTCTGAGCTCTTAGAGACCCGCCTCCCCGCCGCCGCCGCAGGCGCCCCCAGCGCAGGCGCGGCCGGCGCAGCCGCGGCCGCGCCGGCCCCGCAGCCGCAGAACGCCTTCGCCGCCTCGGACGGCCTGGCGCTGACGTCAGCAGCCGCGCCGATGCCGACGCCGGCAGCGGCGCCGGCGGCGGCGGGGGCGCTCGCGACCTGCATGCCGTAGGCGTCTATCCTAGTCAGCAGGTCATCGAGCATCTCAGTGCTGGTGGTCCAGGCGTTGGCGAAGACGATGCGGAAGAAGTTGGGGTGGGACCCCAAGGGCTGGAACCCGATCATCGCGTCGCCCTTGGCCTGGGGGGTTGTGGGCAAAGCTTTTTCAGATGGGTATTGGTGTATTTGCAGCAGAGGTCTTAAGGCATGCGCTACAGCACTGCCAGCGGGTGATATGCCAAATGAATACACCATGCGCTTGGAGTGTAGGAGCCTGCAGGTGAAGGCAGCAAACATGGGGCAATGCAATAACGTAAAGAAGCAAGCAGTCATCACCCACAGCTTGCCCCCTGGCACTACGCCAGCCATGCCCACCTGCATAAGCGCCTTGATCGCCGGCGCCACGGCGCCCAGCGCGTCCCGCTGCCGCTGCGCTGCGCCCTCGCCGCAGCGCCAGGGGCGCAGCGAGGGCGGGACCCACCAGAAGCAGACGTTTGTGCATGAGCGCGGCATCACTAGCTCAAAGGCACCGCGCCACCTGGGGGTTGACATACGCGTGTATGTGTGTTAACGCCTGTGCTTGTGTATTTGCATGTGGATGTGTTTATGTGTGTATATGTGTGTGTGCATGTGTGTGTGTGTGTGTGTGTGTGTGTGTGTGTGTGTGTTCATGCGTGCATGCGTGCGTGCGCGGCGTGCGTGCACGTGCACACGCAGGTGAGGGCCATTGTGGCAGCTGGGGTCGTTTGCGTATGCAGCGGCCTGAGAATCTGGCATCAGCAGCGGCGCCGGCATCAACCGCAGGTTCGGCGGCTGCAGAGCCAGTCGCAGCAGCGGCAGCGGCTGAATTGGGGCTGGGTTCGTCAAGGCGATCGGCCTCAACAGCCCTACTGTGTTGCCACGGCTGCGTGAACCAGGCCCTCGCACCTGGGGTGCGTCAGGGCCGCCTCAAAGTGCTCCGCCAGTGCCACACAATGGTCGATGCGCGCCTCCCAGCCCGCGTCCCCTACCGCCTTCCACTGCAGCCTGCGACGGCATGCCGGGCAACGTATGTGTCAACGTGTTGCGGAGGGCCGGTGGGTGCTTGGCCTGCTTATTCAAGGACGTGCCAGTTGACAGTGCGGTAAATCGACGGTTGAGTGGATCTTGGAGGCCAGGGTAAAATAGCAAAGTGTCACCCTAAGACCTGGCCGGTGCACCGCCTGGTCAGCTGCACTGCAGCTGCACAAAAGCTGGAGCAACGGCTTGCAAAAACTGCGATCTTGGTGTCCCGCAGCACGCTCGAGCGCCGCAGCACAGGACAGCGCATTTGTAACGTGACGCTGCGAACCGCAGCTTCATGGCGTTTACTACGGAGGCAGCTGCAGAAACGCGCCACACAACCACAACAAGAAGCGTCCCTCCACTTGTAACACAGGGTGCAACCAGACAACGAAGATGCCTGGCTACGCTGTGGAGGGCGGCTCACCAGAGCTTCAGTGCGTCTGATTTGCGGCCGCACTGCAGGGACTTGTCGCCGATGTCGAGGGACCCAAACAGCTTGTCAGGCTGGAAGAGATAGGTGGCGCCCGACGAGTTGGCCGCCTGCAGCAGACCTGTCACAGTGAGGGGGATTACATGACTTAGCTAAGCAGGTGAGCGTTGCGGCCGGCTGGGGGGTTTTATGGGGACTCTGTGCTTTGGGGTTGAGTGACAGAATCGTGCGGAATTCACAGCGTACATGTGGGACCTCTGTGCTTATGGCTTCAACCTGAGAATGTTTTGATTAAAATAGTGTGAAAGCTGTGCTGCACGCGCGCAATCACGTGCCGTTCTCAAATTGATGTATGAGCAGGATGGTACCACCTCCCATTCTGCAGAGTGATGGCTCGCCATGCCACCCCACCCCTGTAGCGCCTGAAGTAGGCCGCAGGTAATGCAGCACGCCGATTATCTATCTCACGTGTGATCGCAATCCGGCCAGTACACTAAACCTGACCCCGTCTGCTGCTCACCGGCGCGAGGGCGGGACCATGACAATGACTCACCCTTGTGGCGGGTCATGAAGGCCGCGCATGACAGCGGCACGCCCATCATTTTGTGTGCGTTCCATGCGAAGGAGTCGGCCTCCTCGACCCCTGCCAGCACGTGCCTGCAAGCGCGCATTGATATTGCCGGACGATGGGTGCCGCTGGGTTGTTTGAGCACGAGAGACTGCAGCAGCGTTCGTGCAACTGTGTAATTCGCATTGCAGCGGCTTGCGAGCTGTACATGTAGCGGTTGTGAGAAAGATTTGTGTCCCCCAGCCCGAAACAACCTGCAGCGCTGCGGCGCGAGGCCACGCGCCTGTGCTTGCGGGAAAGCAGAAGCGAGCCACCCCAGCAGCCGTCCACATGCAGCCACAGCCCGCGGCGGCGGCATATCTCAGCCACCTCCTGCGGTTGAAGCAGAGGGATGCAAGAATGTGACTTGAGTAATCAGTACAATCATGAACATGGTCAAGAAATCCAGGTGAAATTGAGGGCCTTGCAGGTGTGACTGTTGCAGGGTCTGCCGGTCTGGAGGGTCAGCAACGCGGGCGATTGTCTCCCTCAGAGCGTGGCACAGCCAGCTATCATCTGACAAGGGTGCAGACAGAGCGCACAATTCGCTGCCGCCCGCCCTTGCCGCGTTTGCCCAGCATGACCGCGCGCAACCTGGTGTAACCCCTGGTAACCCAGCAGACCCATGACTCACCTTGAAGGGGTCGAAGGCGCCCGTCACCGTGGTGCCCGCAGTGAGGCCAACGAAGAACGGCTTCTGTGGGACAGGACAGGGATTAGAAATATCTCATGGTATTGTGACTGTGGGCGGAAGAGATCGCGGCAAGCTTTGCTGTGCACGACACTACTGGGCTGCGGGGAGGCGGCTGATGCAGCCGGGGCAGCCGGGCTGAAGCCACGCAAGGTCTACCGCCAGCTCAGCGTGGCTCATGTGATACCTGTGGTGGCGCCCGAGCGGGCCGCTTCCGCAGCCGCGACTGCGATGCATTTGCAACCCTTGCTCGCAATCTAGCCCTGCACGCGAGCATGATACGGGCCTCCCCTCCCAGCGCGCACCTGCCCCCGCGCCTCCGCCTTATCAATGGCCGCCTCCAGAGCTGCCGGCACCAGCGCGCCCCGCGCATCGCACCCGACCGCCACCATGTTGTCCGTCCCGAGCCCGGTCAGCGCGGCCGCCTTTGTGTAGGAGTAGTGGCTCTGGCCCGACGTGAACGCGCACAGCGGCGGGCCGCCGGCGAGGCCGCGGGCGCGCGACTCGGGCACCGCGCGGTGGCGGGCGAGGTGGAGGGCGTAGAGATTGGAGGCGCTGCCGCCTGGAACCAGCAGGCCGTCTCGCGAGCCCTCGGGGAAGCCGACGAGGGACGCCATCTTGGAGACCACCTGGGAGGGGGCGCGGATCCCGAGGTTGGGCGCGCGATGGTGCGGCGGGGCGGCTCACGGGGATCCCAGGGGCTTGTGTGGAGGCTGTCCGCTGCCGTGTAGTCTGGGTAGTAGAGTGGTGCGAAACGCATGTGCATGTGCATGTGCGCTGATCCGCTCCGCATGCATGTTTCTGGCCTTGGAGGCTCGCCACCTTGTGGCCCCTTGGACACCGACCTGGTTAGACACAGAGTTCCTGCACCGCCGCCCCGCGTCACCCCACGTCACCCCGCGTCACCCAAGTGACCCACCTCGCCCTCTAGGAGGGTGTACACCGGCGCCACCTCGTAGGTGTGCACGTTTGTGTTGGTGGCCGCCGCCGCCCACTCGGCCGCGAGGCCCGCGGGCTCTACACGTGCGTACAGCTGATTGTAGAACAGGGGATGTGACGTCCTGGTGCTGTACCGCAGCACCTGCCGCAGCGCCCCTGCAGCCGCGGCACGGCCGGGGGGGGGGGGGGCAGCCACGGGCGCCAGCGCCGGTCAGGAGCGCCCTCTGAAGGCTGGGGTTTGGGCGCCTCAGGGTTTGACTCGCCGCACGGCACGAGATGGGTCGGGCCGCCGCCGCCGTCGTCGGGGCCGCGGGCGCCCTCCGCTGCATGCGAGGGTCAGCGCGCTGCGCCGCGTCTCCACGCCCTGAAAATTCAACTATTTGTGGCGACCTCTTCATTCACCCCTTGTTATCGCGATCAGGGCCAATGAATCAATGCATTTGGTCTTGCCCCATAACGCACCCATCAGAGAGTCAACGCCCGCGGGCTCCTGGCCCTCTGAGAGCTGCAGCGGCACGCCCGCCTCTGCAAACGCCGCACGCAGCTGCTCGGGCGCCGCGAGGCGCACCACCGGCTGTGAGGGGTCTGAGTTTGATTCCGCCACATAGCCATGCAGCAGCTCCCCCGCCTGGTGCAGGTGTGCGTGTGTGCCCAGTGGATAATATGTAAGTTGCAATCATGTAACATGCATGCTGGTGCCAGAAAAATTCAGGCTGAACATCGTCCGCATTTCGTCTGAAGCATGCGGGGGCATGGCACCAGGCCGGCAGCGGCGCACAAGCTGCTCGTGCTGAACCCCCGCAGCGATGCAGCGGCGCACGCGTGCGTTGGCGCAACCGCCGCAGCCTGCAGCGCCCCATTACGACGGGACCTGCAGTCACCTGCTTTAGCAAATACAATTGCTCCTCGTGACTGTGCCGCAGGCCTTCCATGCTCGTAGATGGGGCTCCGCAAGCAAACAGCCCCGCGCCGCGCTCAACTGTACACAATATCGAAAGGAATCTTGAAAATATCAACTCGAGCCTCGCAACATATTCAGGGACTTTCCTGCGGTTTGTCGTTGAGATCAACGCGAGCTGGACGTCAATTCATCCAGGCTAGCAGCCCGTACACCCACGACAGCCACGGCCTCTGAGGAGCCAAGGCACCACAATATGGTAGAATCAATGCATTCATTCGAAGCATCTTGTACAGTGTTGATATGGCATGGTGGTGCCTGTGAGTCCAACACGGTCAAACAATGCTACAGTTCACGGTGGCCGGAGCCTTCACCACAGCAACTCCTGCGTCCACATGTGGAATTCCTAATTGGACCTGAAAATCTCATTTGATGAGTGAATTCATGGCTGGTGCACAAAGTAGGGGCCCACAGAAATGCTGCCTGCGGTACATCTTGTCATGACTTCGAGTTGTGGATGGATCCCACTCACTACTCACCAGCGTTCAACGAAATGTCAAGAAGCAGACCGCTGCATGACGTGCCTATGAGTGGTCGCACCTTGGTCAGACTGTAACCCAAGTCATGTGATGTGCGCTCAACCATTGATTGAGGTCCGGTCATTACTCGAGCGATGAAATACTGGGCCCGCATGTACGCACGTGCGACTTGTTGCGGGTCGGGCGCTGTGCAGTGGCCGTGACGCGGGTTAAGAGCTGGCACAATTCCATGTGCCTGTACAGGTTCTGTATGCATGCGTGAGAGTGTGGTTTTGAGAGCAAAGGGGTTTGAATGAAAACCGGGATCCGTCTGCGCTCAAAACCCCGTCCATAATTCTGATTCTCGCCACATGAAACACACACAAAATCTTCCGGCGGAATGCCATACGCCCATTAGTAAGCGGACAGCCAGCCCAGCTGTGCTGTAGTACGAGCACAGCGCGCTGATCGCTGCGTGCGACCCATCAAATTCGCGCGTCTGCACAGGCTGCGCGACGAAATCGCCATCAAACAGTGTGCGGTGCGCCGGCAGCGGCCCGCGCACCGAAAACTCGGCCTGCATACGCGCATAATGTTGGGCGGGGCCGGGCGTGGCGGGGAAGCAAGCAACATCCACTGCCCTGCCAGGCAGCCGGGGCAAAACGAGCGCAGTCCCAAACTGCTCCCTGGCATGGGGACTGGCAGTGTGGTGGCCACGGCTTTGTCTTGGTGCATCTGTACGTCTACAAGTAATCAATGAAATTCCAGGAGACGCGGGCGCGTGGCGGCACGCGCGGGCACGGCTGGAGCAGCTGGGCCGAAAAAGAAGTTTTGGTAAGGCGCCCGCGCCTCGAACAATGCATAGAGGCACCCAGCCGTTTCCCTTCGCACCCATCAAGCGCGCGGCGTCACCAAGCAGAGCCGCGCATCAGGCGCCGGCCTCCTTTGCAGCCAGCATCCGCGAGCGCGCGTAGTCGCCCTTGCGCTCCCCAGGACCTAGCCCGAAGCTCGTGGGCTGCTGCCCGCCACACTCCAGGACGACCGTCTTGCAGTAGACGGCGGGGTCGAGGCCGCTGGCGCTGGTGGCCATCGCGGCCTTCATAGCCAGACGCCTCCGCCGCCCGCCGGGCGCGATGCCGAGGCTCGTCGCGGACTGCCCGCCGGTCTGCAGCTGGACGAACCGCACAGCGGGCGCGGGCGACCCCGGGGGCCCCGCGCCGCCGCGGGGGCGGGCGGGCACGTCGGGGGTGTTGGGGCGGAGGTGCGCCGCGTCCGAAAACTCTTCGCGGGTCTTGGGGGTGCTTGCGCCCAGCGCTTGCTCCAGCTTGCCTGTTGGCGTTGAGCGATCGCGGCAACATCAGGGGACGCAAATGCATCATGGACACCGGGCGGCGGCTGCCTTCCCACGCCAACGGCGAGGCTCCCTTGGCGCAGCTGCAGGTGGTCTGAGACGCCATCCAAGCTGTGCTTCCTCATAATCGCCTCAGCAGGCTCATGCGCCGACAGACCGCGTGGCATACGACGAGGACATGTACAAATCTATGCCTGCATCAATGATGGCCTGCATGCGCGTGCTGCTGCACGTAAGCTCCCCATGTGACGTGAGCATGCACACACGCATACACGATAAACCCACCCATGAGCTCTGCCACCCCCAGAGGCTCCTGCCCACGCCCGAGCTGCAGCGGCGCCCCCTTATTGAGCGACCCATCCTGCCCCAGAGAGCAGTTCTGCAGCAGCTCTGCGGCCTGCAGTGGAACGGGGGAACGGGGGGGGGGGGGGCAGGAAGGTGCGCCAGTGTGAAGTTGCGGCAACGTGCGGGACACATTAGAGGCTGCTGGCGAGCGGTGTCCGCTTGGACAAGAGCGCCGCGGGCCTGTGCTAGAGTTGCAAGCTTTGGAATGAAAACGGGCGTCGCAGGATGCCGGCGGCGCAAGCGGCGGCGCAGGGGCGGCTCGCCTTTTTGAGCAAATCCATCTTTTGGCTGTGGCTCTGCAGAAGGCCGGCTGCCCCAGGGTTGGTCGCGTGCCCCTGTAGCAGCTCGGACGCCTGGCGCGCAAGTGTATAGGAATGCATGGCAGAGGCCGGTATTTGGTGGTGAGTCCTGCGTGCTCGGCACGCCCGCATCAAGGGCTGCGCCTCCAGCACGCACGGCGGCAGCGGGGAGCAAAGCAGCGCTGCTGTGCGCGTGGCGTGGCGGACGGGCTTTGGACGCTGGGGCGCGCGGACCTGCTTGAGGAGCTCCATCTGCTCCTCGTGGCTTTGGAGGAGGTCCATAGAGGCTGGCATTCTGCTTTGCCAATGGGGGGCCCGGGCACTTGGCTGTCTGACGCTAGGGTGACTGGTCTAAGGGAGCGCAAACTTTTGGTTATCAATGCTGAACTTCCAATTGTTGCCGGACGGATCGAGAGTCACCGGGGACCCGGGCGCGCGGTCGGGTGCCACGTTCGTCCTCGCTTCAACTGCGGGGAAGCGGGGTGGTTGATTATCTGCAGGAAGATAAATTACCCTTGAATCCACTGCGTTACACGTGACCATGCTGGGTGCCCGGCGTAATGAGCAGCAGGCGTGAGGGGACCGGGCCGCATACACGACCTCTGGATTGTGCAAGTGCTCCGCATGGCCCCATGACCTGCAGTGCAAGAGCACCCGCCATGTGCTTCGCATATGCACACTTGTTAACGTAAGCACCTGCAAGCCTGCTTCTCACGAGTCACCACCCGCAGTTGGGCAGCCCCGCTGACAAATGCAGTCTAACAGCGTTGTTATGGGGTTGGTCCGAGCGACGGGTGGAGGGATCCTGAATGGTATTGCGGCGACAAATGCAATGATGAAAGACAGCATTTGAAAGCGAATCAACGCGGGCATGATGCAGGTTGCTGCCTGCCTGCAGTCAAACAAAGTCGAGAGCGGCTCACGGCTATCCGGGGGAACAAAGACGCGTGCCACTGTTCCACTCCCGCAGCCACGCCTCAAGGCCTGTCACTGGAGCCAGCCGCACCACGGAAGCGGCCAGCGCCGGCGTGCACCCCCGCCTGCTCGGGGCTTCGCCGCAATCCAATTGACCACCACCGTCCCTTGCAAAAGCCAGGATCAACCCCCCGCATTTGTTTGTGTTTGTTGTGCACCCTGCACGGCGGCAGCGCAAAGGCAGCACAAAAACGAACCCCTATGCAACACGCACACCCACCGCGCCTCGCTGCGGTCCCCCTCATCCCTGCTGTGCTGCCGCCAGGAACCGCGCCCTGGCAAAATCGCCCTTGCGCTCTCCAGGCCCGAGGCCGAAGCTCATGGTCTGCTTGCCGCCGCACTGCAGGCTGACAACTTTGCAGTAATCATGGAAATCCAGGTCCCGCCCATCTGCCCCCTCCCGCGCCGCATACTGCGCTCGAAGCGCCCGCAGCTGCCGCCGCGTGCGGCCGCCGGCCGCGACGCCGCTGGTGCACGCCGTCCGCACGCCGCCCGCCTGAAGCTGCACCACCTCGGCCGCGGGCGGCGGGCCCGCGTCAAGGCCGGCGGCGGCGGCAGCGGCATGGAGCCCTGCCGCGGACGACGGGCCCGCCGGGCGCACCGCCGCCGGAGCCTGTTGATCCTTGCTCGTGGTGACGACATCGTCCTCTTCCTCAAATTCATCCCCTCTTCGCAGTGCACCGCACAACCTCTTTCTGCCGCCATCGCCGCCAGCCCAGCCGCCAGACTCGCCAGTTGCGCCGGCCGCGCCGCCGCCGCTGCGTCGCTGCTGCAGGCGTGCGCCGCCGCCCTCGCTTCCGCTCGCCAGGGAGTCGCCTCCGGCGCTGCTGCTGCTGGCGGCGTGCGGCCCTCCAGCCGCATCCCACGCCGCGGCGCCGTCTGCGGCCTTGGTCGTGGACAGCAGCGCAAGCCAAGGCGTCAGCCAAGAAACGGGCAGCATGTGTAACAGACTCATGTGTGTCTTGGATGTCAATGTGAAGTCGTCGGAGACTTGTGACCTTCCGTTGACCAGGACCTTTGCCGCCACCGGGGGCCTGCGTGTGGACAAGGTGGTCGTTGATATGTTGTGTTAATAGTGCTGTGAAGTGGGTGAGTGAAGCGAGGGTGGTTTTGTGTGGGTGGGTCGACGGCGCAACTAGCCCTGTGGGCGAGCCGTCGCTTTGCTGGGGGCCGCCCCCAGCCTGGGGCCGCTGTGCGTGGGCCCTTTCCGCCCTGAATACAAAGCCATACATACAAGCAGCTAAGAGCACAGGATTACGTTTTTAACGGCCACATACAATCAGGAATGACAATGCCAGAAGTGGAACACGTTTGCTCTGGGGCGTGTGCAAAAGCAAGGGCTCGACTGGCAAAGTGTGGGGTGAGGCACGCTAGGCAGTGCGGTACATGCTGGGCCGCGCCCCAAGAGGTGGAGGGGCCCAAGTACAACACAACGTGAAAGCAGCGCGGCGGCGACCACTCGCATGCTCTGTGGCTATTGCCACCCCGCGCGCGTTGACACAGAGGGAATGGACCTGCGAGAAGCGCCCGGCGGGCGCAGCTAGTGCGCAGAGCTGCGCCCCGCTCTTGCTACCCCACGACCCTTTCGCCCATATCTGGGTCCGTCTTGAGCAAACAAACGTTCACATTTAAGCTCACCGATGCTCCCGAAGGTGCGTGCGTGTCAACCGATAGTGTCTGCGGTGCGGCACCCGAACGCTCGAAAGCAAGCCGCGTTATGTAGTGTGGTAACGTTCTTTGATGTCAAGACACTTCGGTCCATCGAAACGGGGGTCCCGGCTGTGCAAGTCACCGCAAGCGAAGTTGCGCATGTGAGGAAGCTCGGCCACCGGGCTCACTCTTTCACTGCGGCGCCCATACCCGGCATGCACTTCACTTGTTGGTACGGATGACAACAATATGAAAACTTTCTTTCTAAGTCCAATCGTCACCCTCGCAGCAGCCCGACTGACGCGCACCCGCTCTCCTGCGCTGCGGCCGCTGCATGTAACGGGCAGGTGTCACCACGACCATGGGGTTATGCACACGCGCCCGCGGGGCGGGTCCATCAGGACCCGCAGTGGGTGACGCGGCGCCGGTGCGCGCATGCACGGCGCAATGACTGACATTGGCTGCGCGCTCAGGAGGGCGACGTTGTCGAGGGGCCTCATGCGTCGCCCTGCCTGCTGGCGTGAAACGCAGCTCCCTCTGACGGGTGGAGGATTAGGATTCATAGAATTGTTGCAGCGTCCCGCGACCGCCTGGTCTGGAGCCATGCAGCCTCATGGGATCGCAAACCAATACGATAGTTCGTGTGACCGAGATTCATGGGGGCCCGCAGCTCAGCACTTCAAAAGCAGGTGCGAACTGAATGGGTACCCATTCGGTGCAGTGCCAAGACCCAGGGGAGCATTCACCTGGTCGCAAAGCCCTCCAAGGCCGATGCTTACAAATTTGCCTGAATTAGCGGGCCTTGCAACCACAAAGTTCACCGTCGCATTGTGGCGCGTCTGCGCCATACTCACCGTGCGCCGTGCCGCCGGCCAGCAACCGGGATGAGCCGCGCTTGGCGGTGGCAAAGCAGTGATGAGTGCGAGTTTCAAGGTGTACATAATGTGCAAGGCTTGTTGGGATGTGCAGGGGGCGCCTGAGTACCGTTTGCTGCGACAGGTTGTGGGGCAGCGAAGAGAGCTGCCCGCTGTTGGGATTAAAATGTTCGCCGGAGGCCAACGCCGGCTGCTTGCAGGCCAGCGGGGCCGAACGCGCGCCGAGGCAAATTCGAAATTCACACAATTTGGCTTCACGGCATTTTTTCCAGACGGCAGTGGCTCCACACGTGCAGGTTGCGGAGCCGCCCCCGTTGTCGGGTCGTACAGTCAAACATTGTTCCAACAGTGGCTGTTCGTGTGCGCTTGCGCCAGGAGGGCTGGCAGCGCTATGGGCTTAACCAGCAAAAGTTGCCAAAACAAACCTTGACTTGTTTTTGGCATAATTCAAATCTGCCGCCCCGGGTATGCAGCGCGCTGGCTGTGCAAGCATGCGGCCTTGGGCGGCTCGGGGCGCAGCGCCGTCCGACCCACAAATCCCTCGCCAGGCGCGCCTCTTCGGCGCTGGCCGCTGGCGCTATGACGCCCTTGATCGCATTTACGGGGCAAAACCACCCGCCTCTACACATTCTTGAGGGCCGCAGCGTAGAGCAGCGCGGCGGTCCTACATGACACACGCGTCATCTAGGGCCGCAGATGTGTCACTCACCATTGCACACCAAGAGGCGGGCGTCACCCCGGCCGCGGCCCCCGCATGAAGCGCGCCCGGGCAAAGTCACCCTTGCGCTCCCCAGGACCCAGGCCGTAGCTTACGGTCTGCTCGCCCCCGCACTGCAGGCTGACGGTTTTGCAGTACCGCTCGCAATCCACCTCGGCCCCTTCCGTCGCAAGCTGCGCCGCCTGCGCCGCGCGCAGCATCTGCTGCTGCCGCCGCTTGCGGCCGCCGGGCGCAACGCCGACGCAGGACGTCTCGACGCCGCCGGCCTGCAAGCGGACGACCCGCACCGCCGGCGGCGGCCCCGCGTCACCAGCCGCAGCGGCCGCCGGCGGCACCACCTCAGCCGGAGCAACTATGGCCTGCTGTTTTGCCAACTCCTGCTGGTCCCTGGATGCACTTGCAGTGTCGTCCTCCCCCTCCCGCTGCTCATACCCCTTCGCCTTGCCGCCAACGCCGCCGCCGGCCCCAAGCCGCGCCGACCGGCGTGGCGGAGGCGGCGGCGGCGGCGACGCGCTCGGGCCGCCGCCACCGCTGCCACTGCCGCCCTTATAGCCGCTGCTCCCGCCGCCGCCGCCGCCGCTGCCGCCGTCCAAGATGACCTCGACGATTACGCGGTCCTCGCGGGCGCGGGCCGCCAGCAGGCCTCCGATGTCTTTCAGCCCGATCCGGGCCCCGAGAAGCTTCCTGCGCGCGCAGCACCACACCCACCGGATGGCGGGGTTCAAAGCGCTAAGCAGGACGCGCAATGTTGTTGTGTCCCGCACAACACAAATGCGCACATGCCAAGCGACAGAGGTGCGCTCACGTCCTGCACCCTGGCCCGCTGCGTTGATTGCTTGCAGAACCTCGCTCTCAACAATAACAAGGCGCGAAGATCTGATGTGCTCTGAACTCACGAGTTGCAGGAGACCAGAGAGTTGAGGAACTGGGGCACGTCATAGAGCGCCATGCCCCACGCGCCTGCGCGTCGGTGTGTGAGCGCAGGGGTGGCACTTCGGCTATGGCGCGGGGCCGCGGCGGACGGCGACCGCGGCGGGGCGCGCCGTGGCCAGCCGCCCTGCAATGAAGGAGCTCCCAGCCGAGCAGCCCCCCATTCGCCCGCGACCCGCCCTGTGCAGCTGGAGGCGACACGGCCGCCCGCCTGGGCCCAGCGGCATTGAACGGGCCGCCCCGCCGCTGCGCCAGCGGCGTCGCAACGCCGCAGAGCCGCCGCGCCGGCTGCTGAGGCGCAGATCCTGGAAGCGCGCTGCACCACTCAGCGCCACATTAGCAGCATCAGCACATGCCTGCATAATGGGGCACCCTCCCCCATAGAGTGCCCTGATAACAACAAAATCAGGATCCTCGTATATGCTTTCGAAATCTGATATGACTCACCCAGCAGCATCATGACTGTCCCGGGCGTCCAGCAGCCCCAGGCGCTGCATGCGCACTGCGCAAAGTAGTACCGCTGGCTCGCCAGCAGCACTAGCCAGTGGCCGCAGATTGCAGGGCCGAGTAGCCAGCCGTACCAGGCCGTCGCCTGATTGATGCTGCACTGGACGAGCTTGTAGGTGTGGTTGGGGATCGCGGCGCACAGGTAAAAGAAGACCTGCCACAGGGAGTTGGGAGGGGCCAGGCGGTCTTGGTGCGGGTTGCATTGACTGCTGCGGTCTCTTGGATAGATGGCCTCGGGCTGCCCCCGCAGCGGCGGTACGGCTGCGCTTCCCCCAGCACATGCCGTTGCGGCTGCGTCAACAGCGCCGCTGAAACGATGTGGTCTCAGAGTCGCGAACGCCTCACCGTGTTCCAAATCGGCGCTCCCTCTGCGCCCCGCGGCGCAAACAGCACCATCCAGGGTGTGAACCATGACAGCGACAGCAGGTGGTGCACGTTCATGAACGCCGTGAAGTTCTGCGTGAACTCCTGGGGCCGCCTGGACAGCTGCAGCATGTCTGTCACGTAAGACGCGAGGAACAGCGCCGTGAGCTGCCCCCTGTGCGCTGCATCCCCATCAGCGGCCGCGTCTTCGCCCGCTGGGCCTGCCGGCGGACGGTGCAGGTTGAAAGAGCGGGTTTGGGATGGGTGGTCGGTGTGCGATGGCCGCGCCAGACCCAAGGTTGCAAGTCTGTATGTCTGGGCACCTCACGAGTCCACCAGCTGGTGCGCCTCTTGGCGGCTGCCATCTTACTAACGCAAGCATCCATTGCCCGTTTCTGACGGATTGTATCCCCCTCAACTCCCCGACGTCAACATGCTGGGCTCGACTGCACATCGTAAGCAGCAGTGGCGGCGTAGCGCAGCAAACCCATCTGCAGCAGCGACGTGCAATGTCTCCGATGCCGCCGGCCACGCAGCCAGCTGGCCAGCTGCCTCCTGAAAGGCGCCCTGTTCCCATCAAAAAGGCTGAATTTACGCGGCGTGGCCTTGTCGCCCCGCCGCGCCCGCGTCCATCGCCTCGCGCGTGGATGTTCCTGACACGGCCATCCCACGCTGCTGCAACCCCCGCGGCCGTGCCTCCTCGCCCTATTCCTTGAGTGCATACGTGTACGGATGCACCAACGGAGCCGTTCTGAACACCACTTGCCCCTTCATAGGCACAAAGCTGCTCTCACCATAGTGATGGTATGCCAGGGTGCCTGCAAACACCAGTCGCACCCCAACACTGGTAAGGAAGAAAACCTGCGCAGGGGCACCAGCATGAGGTTGTGTGTGTCAGGCTTGCCAAGAGGGAAGTTCAAACGTGTCTGTGTGTGTGGGGGGGGGGGCGTCAGGGGTAAAGGCAAGAGAGAGGGTTCTGGTGCCACTCTTGAATTACCCCTGGCGCCGCACTCACGTCGTGCTCTTGGCTGAATTGCGGCGCCCCGCCCAGCCCAGCTGCTGGCCACGGCCAGCGCAAAACGCTCCCCACTAGCCCTGCCACCTTACGCCTGCCTCGGGCACAGTCCCATCCAAGCACGCACCTTCTCTCCGGCGCGGCGGGCCCCAACAAGCTGCCTCAGCAAGGCGTCCTGCCCGAAAGTCACTGCGACGCCCATCGCCGCGGCCAGCTTCACGAGGCGCAGCAGCTCCCCGAATTCCAGCCCGGACCGCCCGGCGGGAGGCCGGAACAGGCCCATGCCGGCCAGCTCTTTGGGTACCAGGCTGAATGCCAAGGCAGAGAAAGCAGCCACCAGCAGAACGATCACCACGGCCCAAAGCTGCGCCTGCCGACGCCGCGCCGCGCGGCAGGCGGGCGTCCGCGGCGCCGGCCCGGGGTCGTCGTGCATGGTGGCAGCGAGGTATCACGAACTCTGTCTCGACATGGAGAGGGGGTGGGAGCGTGGCATAGAGGCGGGTAGGTGGGCGGGGTGGAGAGCGGTGGCGGTCCACTGATCACTACACACTGCTCGAGCGGAATGTGGCGGCACCGAGGGGCAAAGGCTGCTGTATGTGCCGCTGAGGCCGCACCAACGCTGAATAAATTACCTGTAATCCAATCTCTCCCCCTCCACGTCCCCCAGCGCAAGCGGAGAATACACCCAACGAATCCGCTATCAGCTGATGTTTCGATACTCGCGCAGAAGCTGGCTTCTAGCTCAAGAGGCGTTTTTGCTGTGCGGAATAAACACCTCAAAAGTTGTGGAGTGCTCAGTACGGTGTGGCACCTGCGTGCGAACCCAAGTCACTGAACGGCTCCCTTGTATTCTGTCGTGCGTGGCAGGCGCAACACGACCTTCTGCTGGGAACTTCGCGTGATAAAGAGCATAAAGTGCACTATCTTATTGTTGTGTAACCTTGATTGGCGCATTTGGGCTCATCGTTGGAGGTCAACTCTGACAGTGAACCTCGCTCACTAATCCGGCCGACAACGTCCGCTGCTTTTGCTTCTGGAGCTGGTGGTGTTTCGGTCAGCCTCAGCCCTGGTTCAATCGCCAAGAATAACCTTTGCATGGGGGAAGAGCGGCGATCTGTACACATCAGCGCCGCCCGTCCAGCATCGACAGCGATGCCCGTGCCCTGCATCCGGCAGCTCAGGCGTCCTGCGGCGTTGCAGGCCGCACATCACACTACGCTGGGCTTACCCAAACCCTGGCACGCATGATGGGTGGCACACACTGCGTTTCAGTGGTCCAGATGGCGCCAAACCTCCGTGCTGATTGTTGGGCCTTCGCATCTGAAAGAGGGCGAAGCCCGGTGCCGCCGCCGCCACCATTGCTGCTTGTATGCCTGGTGGGGTGAGAATTTGCCAGTGCTGTTTACAAAATAGGCCCTCCTGTGCTGCAAAGGACAGCCGCGGAGCGAGAGCACTTGGGATGACTGGTCAAAGGGGTGCAGTGGATGCACGAACAGGCGCGCACGCAAAGAGAGGGGATAACGACTCGGGGAGCTGTTTGGAAAAGGGCGCAGTGCACGATATAAGGGGGTTGCTGCTGCGTTTGACGAAAGGGGCGCCGCGCCCCATAAATGACATGCATAGCATTGTTTGCGGAAGGTTGCTCGCAGGCACACGTGCATGCGTTGTGGCACGCATGCATGAGGAATGGACTCTGAAAGTTGGGAGGGGCAGGTCTGCGATACCACACGGCTCAGGAAGCAGGGCAACAGCTGCTTTCGCGCTTGGAGAGGATTGCAAGCGGCCACGCCGCCCGCGCGAGCAGCTGCGCGTGCACCGACGCCTGGCGGATGCAAGCACAGCAGCGGCCCGCCGAGCCCGCCTGCCCATCCGGCCGCGGGCGCCTTCTTGCGGGGCTGGCATAGCGCCGGGGACGCCTTGGGTCGGGGGCAGTCTGGGGTGCGGCCAGGCGCAACCCTGCGTGCCGTAGATCCCATGTGGCTCCAGGGATGCCGCACGCTGAAACGCCGCACGCCTGGGACGAATCGTCCGCGCAGCGCGCGCAATGCGGCTCGCAACCTCCCAAGCGATGAGACCTGACACAGGCGCAGCCGCAGCCGCGGGCGCACCTGGATGGTATCGTCGACAAAAAAGGGCCTGCGGCGAGCCATGTCCCAAGGGGACAGCAGGGGCGGCCGTGCAGGCGAACGAGGCGGCGCGGCCGCCCACGCGCGTCAGGGCGCGTGCGCGTGCGCACGCCAATCGCGGCGCGCAAAAGGGCAGCAGAGCGCCGTGCAAGCGAGGAAGAGAGCGGGGCCTGCACGGTGGCAGATGGCCCGGCGACGGCGGCCGTTGCGCTTCTAAAGCGGAATGCGAAGGGGCGGGCCTCCTCAGGCAAGCGCCGCCGACCACGCGCCACGGTCGCGCGTGGCGGGCGGGCTGTCACAGCGGCTGGCGGATTCTGACTGTATCTTGCCCAGCGCAACTGAGGGGCCACTCAAGGGGTCCAATGCGTTCTGAAAGGGGTGGTGGTTGTCGGTGTTTCGGCAGGGGGCGCGCCCCGGGACTGGTGACGGGTGGTGTGTAAAGCACGCGTGCTGTTGCTGCGGATTTTGAAACGAGCTGCGCCGGAACGGGGTTCTGAACATGCAACGTGCATTACGACCGGGAAGGGACCGTACAAAAAGGCGTCTGGGGGTGCGACAAGATCACGCCTGCCGACGTGGCGCCGCCCGGCTCGCCCACGGGCGGCGCCGGGCGAGGGAACAACCGCTGCCCGACGCGTATCGCCCGGCGCGGCGCGCCGCATGCGACAAAGGGCCTGTCCGCGGGGACGGCGCGGGAGGGGCCGCCAGCCCCGGGCCCGGGGGCGGGCAATAATAACACATCAACGGGCGCGGCGCAGTGCGCCCGCATAAGGCGAAAGCGTCAGTGCTGGGCCGTCCGGGGTATGTTGGGCGGGTTGTGGCGAAACCAGCAGCCGGGGTTCTAAGCGTGGTCGAGACGCGCCAACAATACGGGCGCAACATGTCATAATGCACAAGGTGCGGCAATCCCGGGCCTGCCGGCGCATATTGCACCACCGCGCCGCCAGGCGCAGCAGCAAGGAGGGCGCCGCGCCGGGGGCAGAGCCGCTTGCCGGGCAGCGCCGACGGCGCCGGCGCAGCGGCGGCGCTATCGCAACTGCCAACGCTCAAACGGCTGTCGCGTCGGAGTCCAGGCTCATGGCCTTTTTGAGTCCAAGGTAAACGCAGGTGGGGGACGCGCCGGGCCCGCCCGTGCCGTCGTACGACATCTGCAGGCGGCTCTTGAGGCCGCGCAGCCGTCGGATGCCCTCCAGCTGCTCCTCCGCCGCCCCCCGCGGCGTCGACGCGGATGAAGCGCCGCCCGATGGCGCGCCGGCGAGCTGCGGCTGCTGCTGCGGCCCGGACGGGGCTTTGAGCAGCGCGCCGGCCGCGCCCGCCGCGCCGGTGGTGGCGCATTCCGAGGCAGCGGAGGCGCGGCGGTCCCCGAGGGACGCGGCCTGCTGCAGCGTGGCCATGAACTGCTGCGGGTCGTCCCTCCGCTGCTGCTGCTGCTGCTGCTGCTGCTGCTGCTGCTGCTGCTGCTGCTGCTGCTGTGCGCCCGCACCCGCGAGCACGCCCCGCGGGCTGCCGAGCTGCTGCCACGCCGGCGCGCCCGCGCCGGCCGACGCGGACGCCGCTTGCGGCAGCATCCAGCGCTGGGAGGAGGCTGGGGTTGCGCACATGCGGGGGCGCTCAAACAGCGACCCCTGCAGGCCGGACAGCACCACCTCCAGGCGGGCGTCGGGCACGGCGCGGGCCCACTCCAGATAGCGTATGAGGTGCTGCCTGCGGCGGCAGACGGCGGGGGCAGTGGGCGGCGCCGGGGGCTAAGAAGGGAAGCGCGGTTGGCTGGGGTCAAAGCAGGGGAGGGGGGCCGGGGCTGGGGCCCAGGAGCTGGTGGCAGCACTGCGGCGCTCCCCTCGCCCCCCAGAAGTCGGGAGTGCTGGCGTCGCACGATGGCGCGCCTCCCCTTGAGTCGATCAAGCAGACCCAGCGCCTAGAGCCAGCCGCGGCCGCGGGGGCGCGAGCTCACTTGACGTATGGCAGGAGCAGTATCTCGTGCACCAGCGGCCGCGCCGTTGGCTCAACCTGCAGCAGCGCGGCCACCAGCCCCTTGAGCCCCTCGCTGTAACCGCTGTCCAGCGATTTGTACTTGCCGCCCATGATGGAGAGGATGATTTTGGATATGCTGCTGCTGTCGAAGGCCTTTTGGAGGGTGCACAGCTCCACCAGGATGCAGCCGAGGGCCCAGACGTCGCTCTGCATGCGCGCGCGCGAGTGTATGTGTGTGTGTGTGTGTTGTGTGTGTGTGTGTGTTGTGTGTGTTTGGGGGGAGGGGGTGGTATGCTACCAAGGTATGAGCCGGGTATGCTAACAAGGGGTTGAGCGCGGAGCACCTGCGCCCGCTGGTGCACGCGCCGCCATGCGGATCGCGGGGACGCGGCGTGGCCGGGAAAGCGGCGGGCAGCGAGCCGCCCAACCGCGGGACGTGGGGCCCTCAGGCGCCCTCCAGCGCCCGTAATGGCGG